CTAGGACTGATTGTTTCCATTAATTTTGGTTTTCTTCTTTCTTCTTTGCTCTTGACAACGAGAGACCCATCGTTGCATCTAGATGGCAGCTTGCTAGCTTTTAAGATCCCAGTCGCTATTTGCCAAAGTAGGAGGTGGAACAATATTTTGTATAGTATGTTATGCCAACTGAGCTTGATGTCGCCTGTGACTACGGTCCCAAGCCCGCAGGATCAACTACTCGGTCACTCTGGGTAACTGGCTGTGACCAAGCAGTGACCACAACCTTGCCCCTTGCCAGCTCTACTATACACCTGGGAATTCTGATTGGGAATGAAGGTTTTGAAAACTTTCTGAATATGCCTGGGGCTGGACTCATGCTCAGAAAATAACTGAGTAATCACCACTGGCTGACCTTCAGATTCTGCTCAAGCAGCAAGTAAAGGATAAAGGAGAGTTGTAAACTCTGAGGACTGAAGACACCAGTACTACCAGTGCACTACTTACTGCCGTCAACTCAGTCCCAACTCATAGGAACCCTTCCTTGGGTTTCTGAGGTGGTAAATCTTTACAGAAGTAGATTGCCCAGTCTTCCTTCTGAGGAGTGGCTGGTGGGTTTGAACCACCAGCCTTCTGGTTAGTAGTCAAATGCCTTAGGCACTGTGCCACCAGAGCTCTCAGCACACACACAGATTAACTGCAGAGACTGGAGATTGTTGTTGTTCCATGAATTTGAAGAAATCTGTTAAATCACTAACTTACCACCAAGATAAGAGGACAGAGAGTTCAGTGGCTACACACAATAAAACATACAGAATTCTGAAAATTAGTATAGAAAAATCACTAAACAAACAACAACTATAACAATTACCAAGAAAAACCTTGGGGACAAAACAGTAGCAACAGAACCAGGAAACCAGCACAAGATGGCATGGTGGGCTTCCTGGCCCACAGAGCAAGGTGGTTGTAGCAGGTTTGCTGACCTATAGAGCCAGATAGCTGAGCACCTTCAGGAAAGAGGCTTCCTGAGGGAACAGAGTGCCTCTGGGCACTTATCAGTGGAGCTAAAGAGCTTTGTGACACTTGCCCAAGCAGGGCAAGAGGTCAGGCCAAGAGGTCCAGGGGCCAATCAACAGGACTGCCTGCAGGCACAGGCAAAGAGCTATCCTGACCATACTGTGTCCTGAATCATTCTTCATTCTGAATGGTAACCTGTTACTTTCCTAATAAACTCCATAACTGGGGGGCGGGGGCAGAAAAACCTTGGAGAGAGGAAGAATCTGATTTTGAAAGTCATTATATTATAATAATCAAAATGTCTACTTTTCAACAAAACTTATGAGGCATGCAAAGAAATAAAGTATGACTCACTGTGGAGTAAAGAATCTAATTTCACCCAAGAAAGGTAGCCTTTTTTCTTGGCTCCAGAGAAATAACCCGTGAAATGATTAGGGTGTACTGGTCTGGAAGTTCCAGGCCACACCTGAGAAAATATAAGCTAACAAACAGGGGCTAACTAGACCAGAAAAGACTTACTTGGGAAGCCAATATCAACTAGCCTTAGGAGGCATGATTTAGCTTATCATGCAGAACTGGTTGATAAAACCCTGAATACTGAGACTCAGTGAGCAGCCTAGTGATGATGCTCTGGGGAGGGTTGCACATCCCTTGGGACACAAAAGCTCTCCGTTGGGAACCCTTCTAGACCTTACCCTATGGGTCTCTTCCTTTTTGATTATAATAAACTTGTAGTCATAAATATGGTATAATCTGAATTCTGTGAGTCATTCCAGCAAATTATTGAACCTCAAAGACAATGGGAACCAGTAGGTCAGAAACTAAAGCTGTCATGTGGATTCCTGAACTTGCAGTTGGCATCCTGAAAGGATACAGAGAAATCAGCCCCAAATTTCTAGCCAGCATGATAAAAGGCTGTGGTGTCACACAGACTTCCCATTCCTGGGGCTGGCTATTTGGCAGTCTGAAGAATGTTGTTGTTGTTAGGTGCTACTGAGTAAGCTCCAACTCATAGCGAACCTATGTACAACAGAACGAAACACTGCCCAGTCCTGCGTCATTCCCACGATGCTTACTATACCTGAGCCCATTGTTGCAGCCATTATGTCAATCCATCTCATTGAGGGTCGTCTTCCCCCTTTTTGCTGACCCTTCACTTTAGCAAGCATGATATCCTTCTCCAGGGAATAGTCTCTTCTGACAATATGACCAAAGTAGGTCAGGCGACGTCTGGCCGTTCTCACTTCCAAGGAGCATTCTGGCTGCACTTCCTCCAGGACAGATCTGTTAGTTCCTTTAGCACTCCATGATACTTTCAGCATTCTTCGCCAGCACCACAACTCAAAAGCATCAGCTCTTCTTCGGTCTTCTTTATTCATTGTCCAGCTCTCACATGCATACGAGGCGATTGGAAATATCATGGCTTCTGTCAGGCACACCTTAGTCCTCAAGGAGACATCC